AAATGGAAGCTTCTTGAGGACAGGGGCTCCTCTGTGTTAGTTTTGTGTCCCCAGCACCCAGCATGGGGTCTGGCTGGAGGGGGTGAAGAGTAAATGTAACTGCACATCAGCCTGAAGAAAAGGAAGAAGTCAGAGAAGACCCAGGGTTCCCACCGGGGATGCCGTGACATACCCCGGCCACAGTGCAGCTTCTGGAGATGTCAAAGCCAGTGGACCCTACACAGACGCTCGACTTTGGGTGGACAAGTCCTACCTGAGTCTGAGCAGCTCGCTTGTGGGGTGGGAGTGGGGAGGGAAGTTCAGGTGCCTCGTCTTCTAATCCACAGCCCCCAGGGGCCTGTGGGAGAGGCTGAGTGGAGACAACACTAGGGGAGATGGTTGCTATGGAGACTTGCCGCTACCTTGGGTACTGAGGGAGTCTGTACCTGGCCGGGGAGGGGGAGGGGGACGGGGAGAGGAACTCGCAGGTCAGGACTGGCAGGGCAGGAGGGTAGGAGGCCCTGGCTTTGAGGTGGAGGTGGGGTAAGGGTCCAGGCTGCCCCCACGCCTAGAAGGCTCTCCCTCGGCCCCTTCGCCTCCGGGCTCAGCTCATTTTCCATAGGAAGCCTTTTCTGGTACTGTGCCCATGGCCCCCTCCTCCCCTGCTAGCACCTTACCCCTGAGGGTAACTCACTTTGGGTATTCATCCTGTATGACAGAGCTGTTTGTCTTAGACTGAGCCGCTTGGGGCAGGGCTTAGTACAGTGTCCACTGGACAGTGTCTGCTGGAACAGTTATTAATTAAGTCGTCCAACTCCTTGGGACCCCATTTGGAGTTTTCTTGGCAAAGATACTGGAGGGGTTTGTCATTTCCTTCTCCAGCTCATTTTATAGATAAGCAAAGTGAGGCAAACAGATAAGTAACTTGCCCAGGATCACACAGTTAGTAGGCCAGATTTGAACTCTGGTTTTTCTGTCTCAAGGCCTAGCAGTCAATCCATTGTGCTACCTAGCCACTCTAATTATCATTGGCTATTATAAACACATGCCCTTTAAAATACCAATCTCTCCAGAGAAGCCCAGAGTCTCTGAGCCAGAGGGATCTTACCCCATACGGGGGAAGAACCTGGGGCTGAGGTCAGTTGCCTGAATTGCCTGAAGGTTCCAGGGAACAGTAACCCATGATGGTGTTTGGGCCATGCAAACCATTTGGTTAGAAGCCAGACCATGTCACTACCTTTCTCCATGCCCTTTGTGACCCAGATGTCCACAGCCCTAGTGGGCCAACCCACGTAGAGTGAGCTGGTGTTTGACCTGCTTCCTGGCCTTGTCTCCTCCATGCATCCATTTCCTGATGACCCCGTGTCTGACACCAGATCTAGGACCCTTGGGCCTCTGGGGGAGCTGGAAGGAGGCCCAGGCAGGGCAGGAGGGCTAGAGGAGGGAAGAAGAGAGTAGGCAGAGGGTGAATGTCCTAATCTGGAGGGGAACGGAGGCCTCAAACAGATCCAGCTTGTGCCTACGGCCCAGGCCAGCTTCTTTTCTGCCCAGGCTCCTCCATGGAGGGAGAGCTCACTGCCTGACAAAATTCCAGGCATCCTCGGGTTCGGGCAGGAGTTGGGGGGGGGGACATGTGGACCCCTGCCCATGTGTTACAATAGCAGCCCCTCCACCCCATAGCCCATAGTACAGCTACAAGGTGTGTTCACAGGCCAGCTCTCTGCCTCCCAAGCACTCGATATGAGTGACACACTGCTGAGCCCTGAGGATTCAAAGACAAGGAAAAGACAGTCCCCTGTCCGCTTTGGGAGCTTACATTCTACCCTCACTGGGAAGCAAGCCACAAAGAAAGGAGGGAGGCTCCTGCTCAGAGAGGGAGATGCAGCCCCTTCCCCAAAATAGAGGTTCTGGGAAGAACCAATGGGAGGAAGGGCCCCCAGCAGGCATTTGAGGCTTGGAAGATAGTAGAATTTCCTCCTGGAGGGCAGGGGCCATCTATTAAGTGCTTAACACTTTAAGAACTTCATTCATTCATTCATTCACTGGAAAGTGTCCAGAGACAGATGACTGGGATGTTGAAAGGTCCTATGAGGACTTCTGGCTGAAATGAGAACATTGAGCCTGGAAGAAGAAAGAAGGCTTGAGGTTGGAGGGGGTAGGGGACTGGAGGAGCTGTCTTCAAGTTCCTGAGGGCCTGTAAGGTGCAAGACCCAAGGCTGAGCCTTGTTTGCTTGGCTCAGAGAACTGGGGGAAGAGGCTACTGTGGGCTTTGGGTCAGTGGGAGGGGCTGCCCAAGGAGGTGGTGGAGTCCCAAGAGGGAGGGTCTTCAGTGGAGGACGGTTGGCCCACATTGCAGAGGGGATGTTTGGTCAGGTATGGTTGGGACCAGGTGCTGCTTTGGGAGGGTCCTCAGGGAAATGGAGGCCCGGCAGGGGCCCTGAGCCAATGCCAGACAGGTGTGTGGCAGAGCGCTCGCTGGAGATGGAGTCAGTGGGCCTGGGTTCAGATCCTGGCTGTCACTTGTACACAGTCTGTCTGTTTCATTAGGGGCTACGTCCTCCTCAACGCTCCCTCAGAAGGAGCAAAGACAAATGCAGGACTCCTATTTATTTGTGCCTTGGCCTCCCTCAGTCAGCAAAAATTGCCAGAGTCTGAAAGGGGCAGACACCCTGTATACATGTAAAATGCCTAAGGACCCTTCCTCCTCCGAAACCATCACTGGTCTGGTGGGAGGGAATTGAGTGACAGGCACCTTAGGGGCAGAAGGCAGCACATGGACTGGGAGAGCTGACCCCAGCCCGGCAGCCAGAGAGTGCAACAGGACAGAGAGGTTGCAGGGAGTTAGCTGGGGGCCTGAGGGACAGCGAAAGTCCCCCATCCCTCAAGTTTGAGCCAAGGGGGTCACAGGAGGATGGGGTTAAAGGCAGACAGGGCAGGGAGGCCATGGGGCAAGAGTGTGCTTGGCTTTCCCAGCCCACGCGCTTCCCTTTCCCCTACTGACCTTAACCTTGGCCTCAGTCTCATCTCCAGTACTCCCCTCCCCTCCCCCTCCCCCATGTCGGCAGGGACCAGCTCGGCCAAGCCCTGGGACTTCATGACATACATCTAGATGGTCAGAAATTGGAGATGACAGGATTTAGGGTTAGCTCACTGGGTCTTATGAGTGGTGTGGGGAGTTTGGAGGGAGAGGACGTCTGGGTCCCGAGTGGGGACTGAGGGTGTCTGTCGGACCCCTGAATTGACCAGGGCTTGCAGAGGAACAACAGAAGCCTAAGGGCCCCTCCCTCTCTTTGTGCTCAGGTATTCTCCCTAGGGTGCCCCTCAGCCTGCCACAGAATCCGGCCAATCAGGAGCTCTTGTTGCCAGGTGAACTGGTGCCCCTGGAGAATCCCCCCCACTCCCCTCCCCACATCAGCCAAGGCTGATGCAACCTGGCTGCAATGCTCTAGCCAACTCACTCCCTGTGCCTGGCCCCTCCGCCTCAACAAAAAGTCCCTCTCAACCCCACCCAGGTTCGCCTCCCCTCATTCTGCAAGCAGTACTGGGGAAGGTAGGGGGAGGGGTGTTGGGTTTCTGGCTGCTGGCAGGTGGCGAATGCCAGTCCCTGGAGGACGTGGTGTGGATGGGGCTCCAGGGTCTAAATTGGGATGTGCTCGGGGCTGGAGGGGGAAGAGGGGGCTGGCACCTGCCAGTCATGACTGAGGCCCATCGGGAGGGTCTGACCAGCACCGGACAGGGAGGCAGGCAGGCAAGCAGCCTGAGGTCTGGTGGAATAAGTGCTAGGCTCTGGAGGCAGAGGACCTGGGTTCGGGGATGCTCCTGGATGCTCACTGCCCGTGTGACCTTGGGCAAGTCTCAACTCTCCCCGGACTCATTTTCCCCTTCTGTAAAGTGAGGGACTAAGATGGCCTCAGAGGTCCCTTCCAGCTCCAGATCTGGAAAAGACCTTGAGGGGAGGGATGAAGAAAGTGTCCATCGCACTAGCAAACCAGGACTCAAACCAGAGTCTTGGGTGGGGAGCGGGCCTTTGGGGTGGGGAAGGGGGCTTTGCCCTTCCCTCCAATGGAATCTGTGTTGAGATCAAGAGGGCACCTCAGAGGTCTCTCCTTTTTGCAGATGAGGAAACCGAGGCTAGTAATCAGGAGAGGTAAGCTGCCTCCAACAACAACAGCGGCGGCCAGCGTCTGCAGAGCGCTTTGTGCGGGCAGTCTGTCTGTCCGTCTGCAGTCGAGCTGCTCCTTCCATCACGGCAGGAGGGGAGGGGCAGGGCAGAGGCCAGGCTGCTCTTCCAGCGCAGCGCAGCGAGGGTGCGGAATGGCCAAGGGCAGGGCCTTCTTGGTTTCTTTCGACTGTCTCTGGCCCAAGGCGGGGGCTCAGTTTCGCAGGCAGAGGCAGCGCTTCCCACGTGCGGAACGCCTCCTAACACGTGTCCAGGCCGACCCCGTGCCCACTGCACCCTCGCAGCCATGCCTAGCGCCGTTCGTGCAGCGTTTGGATGCCGGTGGGCGGTCGGACTGGGTGGCCACCGGGCATTGCAGCTTGTTCCACGGAGCCCCGCGAGTCCCTGGCGAGGATGGCACTGCAATGGGCATTACGGGGCATCCACGAGGGGAAGGCAGGGCACCCCGGGCGGAGGCCACGTTGGGGGGCACGGGGTCAGGCTGGCACGAGCACGGGCGGCGGGGAGGAGCCCGACCGGATCTTTTGGTCAAGGCCCTCATTTTACAGAGAAAGAAACCGAGGCCCAGGGAGAGGGAGTGGAGACTAGGGAGCCCTCCCCAGCCGGAGCCGGCGGGGGCGGAGCCTGGAGGCGCGGGGGCGGGGCGCGGAGGGATCTGTCGAGCTGCGGTCAGCCCTATATCCGCGCCCGCTCGCGGGGCCGCCTCATTCCCCTTCTCTCCACCTGCCGCAGGAATTCCCACGCAGTCAGTCCACCCGCCCGCCCCGGGCCATGGCCCTGTAGCTCCGTCCCACTGCCCCTGCTGCGCCTCGGCGCCCGCCGCGCTTGGCCTCTCGGCTCCCTCTTCTCCTGCCGCCGCCTCCTCCTCCGCCGGGGCCTTCGCCGCCTCCGCGCCCTCCGTTGCAGCCATGGAGTGAGTACCTGAATGCGCCTTCCTGCCCGCGCCTGCGTACTGGGTTCCCGGCACCTCCTAGGCTCCCGGGAGGGAGATGGCGTGGGACCACCGGGGTGCGCTCAGCATGGGCGCATGCGCAGTGCTCGGTTGCTGTGCCTTGTCCTATTCAGCACACCTGTCAAAAGGAGGGGGAGGGATTTGGTAGAAGTCTGCATTTTTTTTTTTAAGGGAGGGGCGGGGCCCAAAAAACAGAGGGCGGAGCTCTATAGAGCCCTTTTATGGAGGAGTCGGGGCTTTGTAGGGTTCTTTTTGGAGGGGGGAGGGCATTACAGAGCCCTGCACATAGGGGGTGGAGCTTCACAGACTAGACCCTTTGAGTGGGGCGGGGCCGAAGGAAAGGCGGGGTAGAGGGGTGGAGCTCTACGGAGCCCTTTTATTGGAGGAGGTGGGATCTTGTTAGGAGGGAGCCTTTCGAAGGGGGCGGGCCTGGGGAAACAGAGGGCAGGGAGGGGCGGAGCTCAAAGGAAGACTTTGAGGAGGGGGGTGAAACGCCTAGGTGCTTTGGGAAGGAAGAAGCCAGAGTCTGGGGAGGGTTTAGGGGCAAAAAGGACATGCTTTGGGCAGAGGAGGGCTTCCTCCGGGGGAATGGGCTGCAAAAAGGAAGGGGCAGTCTGAGAATGATGGCCGGGGCCAGAAAAGGAATTCCCCTGGGCAGGGGCGGGGCTCTTCAACTAATGGGAGAGGAGGGAGGAGGCTGGTCTTTAACCCCGCCCTCTTTGTGCCTCTGGGCGGAGCTTGCTCTCACCTCAGCCAATGGGCTGGGCCCTAACTCCCGCCCGTGTCCTCCCTCCCTCCCTGCAGGTCCTCCACCTCTGCCACCCTCCTGCTGAGCAGCTGTCACCCTCCCCGCAGCCTTCTTCTCCAGCTGGGCCTTGCCTCCACGTGCTCGCCTGGCTTTCGAAGCCCCGGCCTGTGCAGTCCTGGCCGCCATGTCTCTCCTGGCGGCCCTAGGGCTGGAGTTAGACAGGGCCCTGCTCCCAGCTAGCGGGCTGGGCTGGCGGGTGGACTATGGGAAGCTCCCCCTGGCCCCCGCCCCCCTGGGTCCCTATGAGGCCCTGGGGGGAGCCCTGGAGGGGGGGCTTCCTGGGGGGAGCGAACCCTTGGCAGGTAAGGCAGAAGGGAGGAGGGGAGGGGGGCGATGTATGGGGAGTGGGGAGTTTGTCCGCCTGACCACTGCTCCTGCCTGCCTAGGTGATGGCTTCTCAGACTGGATGACAGAGCGGGTGGACTTTACTGCCCTGCTCCCCCTGGAGCCCCCAATGCCCCCCAGTGCCCTCCCGCCACCATCTCCTTCTCCTTGCCCTCCAGACCTCGAGGCCATGGCCTCCCTGCTGAAGAAGGAGCTGGAGCAGATGGAGGACTTCTTCTTGGATGCTCCACTCCCGCCCCCTTCCCCGGTGCCTGTGCCCCTCCCTCTCCCCCCTTTTGACCTTCCCCAGGCCCCTCTGGATACCCTTGATCTGCTGACCTTCTACTGCAGTGGGGAGCATGGGCGGGGTGAGGGGGAAGGCGGGGAGGTCTTCCGAGCCCCCCTGCCCACCTCGTCAGCCCCCCGGCCAGCCCCTTACCCAGTATCCTCCTCGAGGGGGGACCGCAAGCAGAAAAAACGTGACCAGAACAAGTCAGCTGCGCTCAGGTACCGCCAGAGGAAACGGGCTGAGGGGGAGGCCCTGGAAGGCGAGTGCCAGGGCCTGGAAGCCCGAAACCGGGAGCTTCGGGAACGGGCAGAGTCTGTGGAGCGTGAGATCCAGTACGTGAAGGACCTGCTCATCGAGGTGTACAAGGCCCGAAGCCAGAGGCTGAGGAGCACTTAGCACATGGGGGCCATCCTGGCCTCACTTCCTCCCTCCTGGAGGGGGCAGGGCAAAGGCTAGGCCTTGCAAGTGAATGGGACCCCTCCCCACCCAGGGAGGCTTCCTACCCCTTTCTGTAAATATGCCTTGGTCAAGGGGTGGGCATTGACCTCAGGAAAGTTAAGGGGGGACTCCCCTCCAAGTCTGGGGCTGTAAAACAGCTCTGGGGCCTCATTCGAAGATTAGGCCAAAGGAGCTGGGGCTGGGGAGTGGTTGGGCAAGGGATGGTGGTGGTGGCTATTGGCTGGGAGATGAGGTGGGAGGGGAAAGGGGAGGAGCCACACCTGGGGCTTTGTAACTAATAAACAGGTTGTCCTGGACTCTGCGTGTCTGTCTCTTGTGGGGGAGGGGCTAGAGAAAAGCATGGGCTGCTGGATCCCAAGTAGGTACTTGCCCCCAGGTCAGGGTGCTAGCTGAGGCAGACCCTGCTGTGACCCCCCCACCTGGTCAATCAATCAGTCACTCTGTAGCCCCAAAATTTTATTGAGTAAACAGTGGCACCCTTGCTCTGCTCCCCCAGGTAGGACTGGACGACCTAGTAGAAATCTTCAGGTTCAAAGTTCGGGGATTCGGAATCCTGCTGGTTCTGAATCTGTTGCTGTTTCTTATACAAATAGGCCACCTGTTTGAGGGAGGATGCAAGCGACGCCATGAAGCTCTGGCATGACAGGCCTTGGCCTCGCCCCTCCCTGCCAACCTTCCTCCCCAGATACCTGGGCACTGGAGGTTGCCTCTTCTGGTTTCTTATCTTTTCGAACTTGGACAAATCGGGGAAACCGCAGGGAGATGCCCTTGTCGCTCTCCACCTGGGTGGGCATGGGCACAGGCATTGATAGATGGTCAGCATTCCTGACCCACAGGCTGACGCTTTCCCTTCAGCGGCCTGGTTTCCCTGGCTAGCCAACAAGTATGCCAAAGCACCTACTGTGTACCAGGCAATGTGCTGGTAATAAGCACCTTACACATCTCATCTGATCCTCACAACCCTGGGAAGTAGGTCTACATCATTGCCATCTTATAGTTGAGAAAACTGAGGCAGACTTGTCTGGGATCACACGGCCAGTATCTGAGGCCACATTTGAACTCGGGGCTTCCTGACTTCATGCTTGGCTCTGTATCTACTCTGTGACTTAGCTTCCCAAATTTCCACCCTCCCAATGGATTCCTGGGTTATGCCTTGGGGACCAACCCAGACAGGACTCATCCATCTCTTCACTGCTCCAGGCCCTATCTGCCACAGCTGAGGCCTCACGTGCCTAGATCCTGAGCCCCCGTGGATCCCTGCTCCCCAGGACTCACAACCCAGAGCCTTCCTAGCCTGGGGCCCCCAAACCCAGGAGTGTATGGGGAAGGCCTGATTCTCCCTGTCACCTCTCTCTGGGCCTCAACCCCTGCAATTGGAGCATCGAGGGGGAGACGGGAGGGGCTAGAATAAGAGCGGGGGCCGCCCAGTCCATTAGGTCTGTGCTGTTTGGGGCGCAGTGTCCCAGAATGGGGCACATTGCTACAATGCCTCCCTTGGTCAGCCTTTCCTCCTAGGACAAAGTCCCCTTTTGTACTCACCAACCCTCGGGCTGCTGAATAAATTGGGGAGACAGAGAGATCAGCACATTTAACCTCCCATACAGTGGTTGGTTCTAGCCAGTGGTCAGGGGGTACGGCCCCTTCAGCCCGGACGTAGGAACGGGGAGCAGGAATCACAAGGGCCTGGGTAGGGTACAGAAGGCCAGGTCAGGGAGGGGAAAAGGAGCTGCTAGTGGTAGAGCCAGCAGAGGGGACAAGTCCAGGAGGGGAGCAGCAGGGCCTGGGCTGAGAGGCAGCCAGGGGCTTGGGATCAAACCCAGGGGGCAAGCCTGGGAAGGGGAGAGGGCAGCAGCAGGGGGCGGGGGCAGGGGAGGGCAGCTGCAGCAGCAGCAGCAGCAGGGGGCAGGGGCTCTCACCTGGAGGCTTTGGTAATGTTCCTCTAATTCTTCATCACTGAAGCCCGTGCCCAGCTGAGGAGAGAGAGGAGGCGGAAGGAGATCTGGTCAGGGCCACCTTTCTGTAGGCTGCCTTCTATCTCCCACCCATGAACATGGGCCCTTGGCAGGCAGAGAGGGAGCGGGCCCTCCTATACCTCCTTGCTGGGCCCAGCCCCCTCACCCCCCCCAGGTGACCCTGCCTCCCTCCTGAGTCATCAGGCAGCTTCCCTACCTTGCAAATGGCCTGGAACTCTTCACTGTCCTCATCGAAGGCAGCCAGGAGAAAGCCCCCATATCGTCCGGCCCGTTTCCCCCGGCCCAAATAGGCCCCGATCACCACCAGGTCCAGAGTGTCCCCAACGCCTTCCAGATAATCCTTCTTCAGCTGGTTACGGGGGAGGAGAACTCAGGGGAAGGACCCTGGGGAGGGCAGGGGCTTCAGGGCAGACCAGGTGGGAGAGATCCAGGCAAGACAAGACCATGGAGAAAGATGGAGCCTGAGGATGGCACGGGGAATGGTGCCGCAGGAGACACAGGATGGGGACTGTGGGGGTGGGGGGGAACGGGATACGGGGTCCTCGGGTGGGGGGGGGCACGGTCACCTTGAGCCAGTTGTGGGATCTTTTGGCAATCTCATACGTGGCATTGGTATCAAGGGTCTTCACCATCAGGCCCTCACAGGAATCTGGATCAGCAGACAGATGCCCATGAGCTGCTGGGCACAGCCCATGCCCCTCAGGAGGGAGGCTGGCCATCCCAGGGGAGAGGGGGGCCCCCCGCTACCTTTCACAGACTGCTCCAGGAAGTCGGCAATCTGCTCAGTGTCCTCCGTGTCCAGAGACGTGGCAAAAACAAACTCGCCCTCTGTCTCGACGAAGTTCTCCCGGAGTAGCTGCCGCCTCCGGGACAGCGGCTCCCGGACCAGGGACTGTGAGGAGAAGGAAGAGGCCTGAGGACCGAGAGCCCCGCGAGGACAGAGGGCGCTGCGTGTCGTGGGGCCTCACTCACCTGCCCATTGAGGTAGATGAGGTCGAAGGCATACAGGCACACCTGAACTTGGATCTCGGCCTCCTCCACCTCCTGGGTGAAGAAGACAGCACCGAGAGGAGTGGTGAGAAGGGGGGGCACTGAGGCAGAGCATGGGCACGGGGGAGGGGTGGGGCACAGATAGGCTGGGCACACCTTGCGTTTGCGCGTGCTGAGCACCTGGAAGGGCTGGATTTGCTTCTTTACCCGGTCCCAGGCCACGGCCTCTGAGTCCAGGATGCAGGAGACGACCGAGGGACGCTTCATCTGAGCCGGGGGCAAAGCATTAAGGCTCAGTGGGCAGGGAAGAGCGCGGCCCCCAGGCACAGCCACTGTGCCACGCCGCCATGCCCCCATCTGCCCCCCGCCTGCCCAACCCCACCTTTGGGATGCGGCTGATGACATCCGGGTACCGGCCCGTGTTATCCTCCTGGTTCCGGCTAAATATCTTCACGTCCCCGTTTGCCAGGACGTGGATCTGTAGGGGCAGAGGGGAACCTGGAGGGCCTAGGAGCAAGACTACGTCACCACATTCCCGTGGGCACAGGAATGGCACAGAGCCAGCCACTGGGCAGAGCAGCATGGCCAGGGAGGGAATGGCTCTGGGGAGGCTGCCCCCTTCACGCCTGCTCTAGTCCTGCACCTGGGGGAGGAGATACAGGCTGGGGCAAAAAGGCCTCCCACCCTAAACCTGTGCCCTCTGCTGGTCAGGCCTGTTCATATGTGGAGGCCCCCCAGGTCCATACCTGTGCCCTCTGCCCGTCACACTTACATTCACGTGCTCCAGACCTGGACCCTCTGCTGGTCAGGCCTGTTCATATGTGGAGGCCCCCCCACACCTGTGCTCACACGTGAGGCCCCCCAGGTCCATACCTGTGCCCTCTGCCCGTCACACTTACATTCACATGCTCCAGACCTGGACTCTCTGCTGGTCAGGCCTGTTCATATGTGGAGGCCCCCCCAGGTCCATACCTGTGCCCTCTGCCTGTCACACTTACATTCACATGCTCCAGACCTGGACCCTCTGCTGGTCAGGCCTGTTCATATGTGGAGGCCCCCCAGGTCCATACCTGTGCCCTCTGCCCATCACACTTATATTCACGTGCTCCAGACTTGAACCCTCTGCTGGTCAGGCCTGTTCATATGTGGAGGCCCCTCACCATACCTGTGCTCACATGTGAGGCCCCCCAGGTCCATACCTGTGCTCTCTGCCCATCATACTTATATTCACACGTGAAGGCAGACTCCTCAAAGCGCTTCAGCACTTCCCCAATGCCGCGGGTGGGGTGGGCCAGCATGGGCTTCAGGGGTACCCCTGGGTGGCAGAGCCAGAGCAAGAGTGAGGGCAGACCGCCTGCCAACTGAGGGCCATCAGGGACTGGGGGGGGGTAGGTGGGAACGGGGGCTGAGAGGGCTCTGTGGGGCCCAGCCTGCCGGCAGCAGGCTGCTGGAGGCTCACCTGGGGTCAGCTGGCAGTGCCGGGGCAGCTGGTCCAGCCCGTGCTTGAGCAGGGCAGAGACAATCAGGTCCAGGTCAGGCACCTCGCTGGCGGACGGACAAGAACACAGATGGGCTGGGTACGTCGATGGCCCTCCTGGCTGTGCCCCCCGCCGCCCCGTGCCCTGCCCGCTCGCCCCTCACCAGAAGGTCTGCTTCAGGATCATGCCTTTCTCCTCCAGCCAAGTCTTCCTGGCTTCTGCTGGCTTGCCGGCCCCAGCATCCACCACAGCTGGGGGAAACTCTGGGGGAAAGACCCACCAGGGCTTTGAGATCCTCTCTCCCCAAGGCCCCACACGGGTGGACGTGGACACGAGGAGATGTTCTGGCAGGAAATGCTCGTCAAAGCGGTAGCTGGGAGGTGGGCCGAATGGGGAAGCTGGGAAATAGCAGGGGGGTGAGGGGCACCTGAGCAGCCTGGCCCGGGAATCCTTACCTTGGCCGGGGGGTGTGAGGGTCACGGCCTGGGCAAGCGCAGCCAGCACCGACTGCTCGGCGAGGCCCAGGCGCAGCCGCCCACTCAGGGCCCTGCGGGGCAGGAGGAGGGGAAGTCAGTCCCTGCCCTGACGCTCCCGGTCAGACACGAGGGAGGGCCCCGTCCGGGCCCCCAGGTCCCCCAGGTTCATGCTCCCTGGTCTCGCCGCCTCTCCTCCCACCCCCAGCAGACTGCTGCTCTCCCACCTGGCAATGAAGCGGGCCTCTGAGTGGCGACAGGCGACGAACAAGCCTTTGATGATATCGATCTTCTTTGATGTGGACTGTGGGGAGGGGGGTGGGAGAGAGAGATGGGCACCACCCGACCCCGAGTTCACTCTCTGGCCTGGGTGGGAAGCCACCCTACTCTCCAGATCCTTACTGGACTGCTCAGACTTCAAAGGAGAATGCCCCAGCCTCTGCCCCATCCTCCCCTGAGACACCCCACAGCAGGGCCCAGGAGAGAAAGCCCCCCACGAGCAGGAGACACCCATGGCAGGGCCCAGGCGGGCAAGCCCTGTCCTTTGCCCCCCACCCCAAGGAGAAGCCAGACGACAGGCAGGGAGCCAGCAGGTGTGGGCGGGGACACTCACAGCGCCGCCCGTGAGGCGGGCGATGTCTCGGAGCTTGCCCAGGAGCCCGGACGCCGTCAGAGGGGGCAGAGGCAGCATGGTACGCTGGGTGCTGCGGCTGGCCTCTACCACCAGCCCCACGTCCCCCCTTTCTGCCATCTCGGCCCGTATGGCTTCCAGCTGCCGCCCTGGCAGTGGGAGAAGACGAGGGTGTGGATGACCGGGGCAGCGCCCCCCGGGTGGGGCGTTGGGCATCGTGTCTCCCCGGTCTCTCCCGCCCTCGCTCACCTGTGGCTTGGGCCACCGCCTTGAGGAGCACGCCGTCCCCCACGCCGAGCTCCAGGCCTTGCTGGGGTGGGCCCAGCTGGTTCAGACTCAGGTAGAGGACGGGGAGCAGGTCTGCGGGGGACAGGGCGGTCACCGACCGCAGGAGGTTGCTCAGAGTTTCCACCATCCGGAGCCTGCAAGAGGGGAAGGGCAGGAGAGTGAGGACCCTCAGCCCAGCGGGGGAGTCGGGGGGTGGGGCTGAGGTTGCGGAGTGTAAGGGCTGAGGCCGAGAGGGCGGGAGGGAGTGGAGGGAGGTGGCATGCGCGAGTGTGGGAGGATGTGGAGGGGGCAGGCAGGAACACGCTGGACAATAGTCAGATCTCGGAGGAGGTGGATGAGGGCCAGTGACTGCAGCCCAGTCGGAAGGAGCCAAAGGGGCAGCGGCTAGAGGGAAACGGGCGGGCTTTACCGAGCAGAGACCTCCTCAATCTTCTCAAATGTCCGAGCAACCACGAGGTAGGGGACCCTGGGGGAAGCAAGGGTCAGTGGGGGACGGGGCCTGCCAGGTGCACTTTCCTGAGGTGCAGGGCAGCCCCCGGGGTAGAAGAGGAACGAGACGATCCCCCCTCCCCCCCCGCCCCCAGCATGAGACCTTCACGGCTGTAAAAGGACTCAGCCGGCCAGCCGGTCAGCAAGTGCTGATCAAGTGCCCACCGTGCGCCGGGCTCCCAGTCTGATGGGGCCTTCTCTCATGGGGGGCCAACCGCTCTGCACCAACAAACCCCACACGCCCTCACCTCTGCCCTGGTTTCCAGCACGCGTCGTCCACGGGGTGATAGCCGCTCTTGGAAGGGTCGTAGGTGGCGGGGTCTGGGGGCCTGTGGCAGACAGAGGCAGGGGCTGGGGAGCCGAGCCTCTTTGCCCTGCCCCTCCTCCGGGGGCCCCCTTCCCCGAGCACAGACATGGCTAGGGGCTGGCCCAAGAGCAGAGGGGTTCCCTGAAGGCCAACTTACGCCCTGGACGTCTCTTCCGCTGCCTCCTTTGGGTCCTGCTTTGCTGTCGCTGGCTTTTGGGGGGCTGTGGAACAAATGTGACACTGGGGAAAGGCTCCTTTCCCTTTAGACCCCCCCAAGCCTGGTATGGAATGGGGTCTGGCCTAGACAGGAGAAGGCCCAGGCTCTGTGGACTGGAGGAGAGACACTCACTGAAAAAGCTGCTGAAGGCCTTGGGTGCCCGGGTGGGCGCCTTCGGCTCCGGGCCTCGCCTCGCCTCCTCTGCAGTGCCCTGCGGCTTGGGGGCCTCCCCCGCGGGCTCGGGGACCGGCTGTCTGTCGGGTATCAGGGTGGGTGGCTCTTGGCTTCTTCCCTGTGTGCTCTCGCTTCCCTCCCTCTTAAGCCTCTTGGGCTCTTTGCCCTCATGGTCCTCAGTGAGCTCCTGTAGCTTACGTTTCTGCATCTGTTTCCGAGCTAGGAAGAGACCAAGTTAGGGTTGGGGGGGGGGGGCAATCAGTGATGGGAAGGGCCTTCTAGGTCACCAAGTCCAACCTCCTCATTTTACAGATGAGGAAACTGAGGCAGGCAGCAGTCAGGTGACTTGCTCAGGGTTCCACGGCTAGTTGGTGCCTGAGGCTGGATTTGAACTCAGGCTGAGGATGGAGCTCAGTAGCGGAAGAAAGAAGCCTGCTGAGGGCTCAGTCTGGCCTTCACCTCTTCCCCCAGGAACACGTGGCGGCTTTCTTTTAGTGGGGGAGGAGGGGAGGGTGGCCATAAGAGAAGGGCCTGGCCTGGAGGCACCTGCTGGAGGTGCTGGTCTGTCTCCCCTACCTGTCCGACGCTTTGGGATCCCCGCTGGGGAGATGCTGCAGGGCGAGGAGTCTGAGGGGGAGGGGTCGGAGCTGGTTGGAGAAGTGGCCGGGGAGGGGACGCTCGGCTTCTGCGGGGGACAGAGAGTGGGTGTGGGGAGGTCAGAACGCCTGCTCCCCAGGGGGCCTGGGAGGCAAGCCGTCAGTGACCCTGCGGAGGAGGCCGGCTACCTGGTCTCGGGGGGCTGTCGGGACCACCTCCTCGTCCTCCTCCTCGCCTTCACTCCCCAGGACTCGGGGCACTTTCCTCATAGGCCTCTTCACGGGGGACTCACTCTCAGGTTCTACGGCATTCCTCTCTTTCAGGGCAGTCCTGGGTGGGGAGGCCGGGCCACCGGGTGTTAAGAGGGCCAGTGACGCCCAATCCACCCAAAGGGCTGCCCCTGGGGGAGCCCCTGCCCGCTCGGACCCCCACTCACTTGGAGGCGGGCTCTCTCTCCCTGCTGCTTTTGGGGGACTCCTCCTGCTTCCTCACTTTGTCCCCACTCATAGGCTGGAAAAACGACCTGTGGGGAGACACCAAAGAAGGGCTAGGGCAGGAAGGGGGCAGGGGGCCGGGCACAGGGGCAGGGGGACGGCCTAGAACCCGAGCTCCTCACTTTATCGATCGCTGCATGGCGGCTCCCGAGGTCTTCCCTCCCTTCTCTCCGCAGCGCTTCCTGGAACCAAATGGAAAGATATGTGAAGATGGAGGGTGGGGGTGGGGTCGGAGGCCGTCCATGTGGGGGCCCCCCACCCCCAAAGAGCAGCCTGGAGGAGCCCAGAGGGCTGACACCGTGGTCTCTGGACACACAGCCCCCATCCCCGGGGTCACCCACTCGGGACGGGTCATCGCCCCGCCTGGGGCCCCCTCACTGGCCTACCCCAGCGGGTCGGGTTGTGGAAGATGCCCCCCCCCCGGAGTCCAGTGCGGGGGTGGCCCCCCACAAGCAGACCCCTGCCCACTTTGGCCAGGCACCCCTCCCCTGACTCACTGACTGCCCCAGCCTAGTCCTATGCACTTATTAGGCACCTGCTGTGTGCCAGGCCCGGGGCTATGCCCTGGAGAGGCAGCCCTGCCCTCAAGGAGCTTACAGTCTAAGGGGGAGGAAGAGGAAGTGGGGGTGTGTGTGATGAAGGGCTCTGAACGCCAAACACTGCACTGCTAGGCTCCTGGAAGCCATGGGAAGCCATGGGGAGCCACAGCAGCTGACGAAGCAAGGGCTGACACTACCGGACCTGCCAGGGTGGCCCGGCCGAGGCCGCCGAGATTGGCCAGACAGGGACCCACCCACAGCCCCTTCCCCCTCCCCAGCACGTGGCTCGCGCATGCGCAGAGGCCCTCGCTCGCCTCCCATCTCTGGGCTGCGGCAGAGGCCCTGCGGGCCCGGAGCATGCTCAGAGCACCGTGTGTGTGCGTGTGTGTCCTCGTGTCCTCCGTTCCCCACCCCCCCCCCGCACTGACCTCCCTCCGCGTGACGCTGCCAAGACTCCTACTCGGCTCCCGGCTCCCGGCTCCGGCTAGGGTCCGGGCTCCACTCCCGCCACCAGCCCTGCTGCGCGCCTCAACTTTCGCGCGCTGAGTCGTTGGGGCGAGTGACGTCACGGGACAGGTGCCCGCCCCTTCGCCTCGCGGAGCACGCTGGGAGTTGTGGTCCGGCCGAATGGGAGGGGCAGGGGCTCTGCTCTCTCAGAAGAGAAGAGGGGGATGGGTTGGGTTAGGCCGGAGCTTCGGGACGGACGCTCGCGGGGCACGATGGGAAGAAGGACAAGCACTGACCCCGCGGAGGGGAAGCAAAGCATTCTGGGAAGACGGGCGGTCCGAGCGCCTTGTTTCGCGGGGCATTGTGGGAGGGTCCAAGCCGTCAGGAGCCGTTCCTTCAGGCTCTGAGAGGGCAGGGCGGGAGGGGTGAGTGATGGGGAGGGAGGAAGGGAGAGATGCACATCTGGAGGGGGGTGGTCACAGCTAGAGGCTGCTGGGGTGGTGCACGGTGGGGGACTCCACATCTGGGGGAAGAGAAATGGAACAGCTGGATGCGGAGTGCCACATCTGGGGGAGGGAGGGGCACAGCTGGATGCTGGCGCGCCGCATCTGGGGGCGGGAGGAGGACAGCTGGGTGTAGGAATGCCACATCTGTGGGAGGGAGGGGCCCAGTTGGATGTAGGGCTTCACATCTTGGGGGGAGAGGTGGGAGGTGGCATAGGTTCAGTAAAGGAGCCCAGTGGAAGATAGGGCTTAGGTGTCCCGTGATTCAGTATCTGCCATCTCCAGCGTCGTATAGCTTCCCTCCGTCTCCTGCCGGGCCGGCAGCGCAGCGTTAGGGTTACTGCTGGTCCGGCCCTCCCTTTCTTGACCTTTGGGTCTCCACTTGTCACTCCCAGGGACCGTAGGATGGAGGAGGAACTGGAAGCAGAGCCCGAGCCCGGGCGGGAGCTGGAGGCAGAGCCCGAACCAGGGTCGGAGCAGGAGCAGGAGCCGGAGCGGGAGCTGGAGCGCCAGCTGGAGTGGGAGCGGGAGCCGGGACAGGAGCGAGGGCTGGAGTCGGAGCCCGAGCTGGAGCTGGTGAAGGAATCAGAGCCGGAGCCGGAGCCGGAGCCAAGGCTGGCGTGGGCTGAGGCCGGGGCCCAGCAGGAGCGGGAGCTGCAGGATCGGGAGTTTTTCTCGTGGGCAGAATTCAGCCGCTTCTTTGATGCGTGGTGTCAGCGGCACCGGGCCCTCTTCTTCGTCAAGAGCTCCATGCACCTGGCCAAATGCCGCTGGGCCCTCGATACCCCGCTCCACACCCTCATCGATGTCCTCAAATACAGCTACGTGCGGCTCGTCTGCAAGGATGTGCGGGCACCCGCCGGCCGGCCTGGCATTGCGGGGTGAGAGGCTCAAGGGGGGCTAGGGCCTGCTGGTCCTGCTTCTGCCCCTGCTCCTGCTTCCCTGTGGGAGGCAGGCCAGGGCCCAGAGCTGGCTCACTCACTGGCCTGTTCACGCTGAGTCCGCCCTGTGTACGGAGCCCACGCTTGGCTTGAGCGAGACCCAAATGCTGCATTGCTCCAATTATGTCCTCTCTCTACTCGGAACCCTCCATGGCTACCCTTTGCCCACTGAATAAAGTTTAACCTCCCCACCGGCATTCAAGGCCCTTCCAGCTTACCTGCCCATCCTTATCTAATATAACTCCCTAGAGAAAGGGTGTGGAGGTAGAGACAGGTGACCCTGAGGGAGTCGTTTAATCTGTGCCTCAGTTTCCAACGCTGTGCCCCCTGAGGTCCTTGTCAGCTCTACATCTCTGTATCTGTGCTTGGCTCCCTCTTTTCCACCTGCCCCTGTTGCTGGGCCTTCCCTTGTGCTCAAGATAGCTCTAGGGCGGCCTGATCCAGGAAGCCTCCCTCTGAGTTTCTGTCTTGCCTTGGGGCCCTCCTCAGCACTTTGAGCTCTCCTTTATGCTGATTGCCACCCCCAAGTTATTGGAATGCCTCTTTTCCCGATTGGATCATAAGGTTTTTGTGGGCAGGGTTGAGGTCGCACTTGTCTGTCTGTGACATCTGAATCGATCTTAGGGCCCTGTTTTTGCATTTGTTGTTGAAGTAAGGCCCCCGAGACAATTTCAGCACATGGTGGGGGGAGGCAGGGACAAACCGTGGGCATGGAGATGTAGGCCTAGGAAGAAGGGCCTAAGAAATGCTCCAAGATTAGAGAGAAGGAGGGATTGTTTCTGATTTGGGGCACGCAAGGGGTGGCATGTGTATGTGGAGGGGGAGGAGGGAACATTGAAGGCTTTGTGGATGAGCTGAGCTCTGAAGATTGGGTAGATATTAAAGAAGGGAATGACCTTCCGAGGCTAGCAGACTGTGCGAGCAGAGGCAGGGAGGTGGGAATGCAGAGCGACTGCTCCGTGGGCAGTGAGGCCTTTGGTCTGCTAGGAGTGCAAGGAAGATGAGGAAGAGCCGTGGAAGAGCAGGCTGGAGACTTTGCAAGGCCTTGAATGTTGGACTAAGGAGTTTGTTCTGTGGGCACCAGGGACTCTGATCAGAGCTGGGACGGAGGAGTAGGATATGCCTCCCTGAGGCAGTTTCCTTGTCTGTAAAAGAAGTCTGAATGAGCTGAACTCTGCTGACCTTGGAATTCTTGTAAGGAGTTGAGAAAGGATGCTGGAGTCAGGAGAGCTGGGTTCTTGTCTGCTAGCTCTGTGATCCTGGGAAAATCACTTGTCCCTTTGGGACCTCAGTTTTCTCCTCTGTGAAATGGGGGTAATCATCCCTATGCTTTTGGAAAAATCACTTTGGCAATTGTGTGGAGGGTGGCTTAGAGAGGAGAGAAGATAGAAGCTGAGGTCATCTGGGCAGGAGGCAAGGAGGACCCGAATTAGGGTGGCTGCTGTGTGATTGGAGAGAAGGGAGCCTGTGAGAGAGTCTGGGGACATAGAAGTGACAAGACCTGGTGTGAGATGTCACCAAGCTTGTGACCCTGGGAGGATGGTTGGTAGTGCACGCCCTTGGGGAGAGATAGGAAAGTCTGGAAGAGAGGAAGGATCAGAGGAAAAGAGCATGGGTTCAGTTTTGGGCTTGGCTTTGAGGCGTCTCTGGAATGTCCAGCTTGAAACATTGCTTTGGCTGCTGGGTTCGTGGGACTGCAGGGCTCAGGGAGACAGGGCACATAGGACAGGACTCATCTGCGTAGAAATGATCATTAGCCCCAGGAAGTGATCAGGTCACCAAGAGAAAGAAGAGTGCATAGGACAGAGGCTTGCCACTTGAAACACGCTGGTGGTACTCTTAGGGAGAGTCTGAGAGACTAGAATAATTCCTGTGGATATTAGAGGCAGGCTTACTAGCTGAAGGGGGTGTGAAAAGGTGACCACTGCAGAGAGCTCAAGGAAAGGGGGGGATGGGAGGGGTGCAAGAAGTTTGGACAGGAACAGACGTACCGAGTTATGGAGCAGCCTGGCTAGGATGGTCAGAAATGGGGGGGGGGGCAAAAAAGCAGGTTGACTCAGGTTAAAAGAAAGGGAGTCTGGGACAGTGGGAAGAATGGCGTAGTGGGGGTCAGCAGGCCTGGGTTCAAGTCTTGGACCTTTCTGGGCTTCACTCCATCTATAGAAGGATGGCATCGAATGACGAGTCCTTTAAGCCCCCTTCCAGCTCGAAACCCTGCAAGGCAGGCAGCTGGGTGACCTCTCCCTCTCCCTCTCTTCTTGCAGGAGCCCCCAGCCAGGCTGTCCGGCCTTCATCATCCTGAAGCTCAGCCCGCTGCGGGACCGCCTGGTGGTCACCGAGTGCCACCTGACCCATTCACATCCAGCCTGCCCTCTGGAGTTTGCCTACTATTTCCGCCCAGGCCATCTTCTTGCCAACGCCTGCCTCCCCGTCCGCACCACCAACAAGATCTCCAAGCAGTTTGTGGCCCCTGCGGACATCCACCGCCTCCTCTCCTACTGCAAGAGCCGGGACCACGGTGTCCTCGATGCCCTCCACGTCCTGGAGGGGCTCTTCCAGGCTGACCCTGAGGCCAAGGTGCTAGCTTTGCAGAGGGCAGGCAGCCAGAGGGCGGGTGGACCCAAGAGCAGAGGGGCAGGCTGCTGGTGCTGGCGCCTGGGTGCATTCTTTGGGTGGGCTGAGGGGAGGAAGAGATCAAAGGAGAGTTGGTCCGAGGGAGGGCAGGAAGCCACTGCCCGTGGCCTGGAGGATGTTAGCTTTTCTTGGTGGGGAAGAAGAGGCATGGGGGGCTGCATAGTAACTAGAGAGAAGGCCTAGGTTGAGTCCTGCCTCTGTCCGCCCCTGCTTGGCTGTGTGTCGCTGGGTAAGTCTTGACCGCTTGGGGCTTTAGGCAGCCCTGTAAGGCCAGAAGAGGCAGAAAAGGTGCCAAGCAGTGTTGGTAGAGGGTGTTTTCTCTTGCAGGAGTTTTGTCTACCCCTGAGACCCCAGGGCAGGGCCCAGCCCCATTCCTTTCCTTCTCTTCTCTGGCTCTGGGCTCTTTCCTACCTGTCTTGGGGAACTTTAATAATTATGTGAATTTGAAACCTTGCCCCTCACACTGACCATTAGGACCAAGCCAAGAGCAAAGGTGAGGCAGCCCTCTGCATCTGAGGGTTTAGGACTGGACGGGCTTTTGTACGTCCTAGTCTTGAGGAATTTTGAGCTAAAGAGCCCTGAGGGTCACCTGGACCGAGCCTTTGGGGAGAGGGCTAGGCTCTTCCTAGGGAGATGATGAATGTCTGTAAGTGTTCAGGGGCATGTTGGGGGTGGCTGAGTAGGAAGGGCTCTTCTAAATACTGATGTCAAAGAGTCTGCTGAATGCTCACCTGGGGGGCTGCTATGTGGACGAGAGATGAGCCTTGTTCAGTTTGGCTGCACAGGGCAGAGCCAGGAGGAGGGAGATTGCAGAGGCAGATTAGGTTTGCTGTCAGGAACCAGCTTCCTGAGGACAGCAGCTGTCCCAGGCTGGAATGAGCTACTGATTCCCTTTCACTGGGGGTTTTTAAGCAAAGGCCTGGTGGCATTAGATATCTGTTTAGGTACCAGCTGGACTAGATGCCCCTGAGGGCACTATGTGACCTTGGATACCTTTCTCTGCCTCAGTGTCTACATTTGTAAAATGGCAGGTTGGACTAGTTGTTTTCTACTGTCCCTTCCAACCCTTGACCTTGGGTCACATAATCCCTGCCCACTTTGAGATTCTGTGAGATGATCATATCTAGTCCTCATTTTACGGGGGGGGGGGAAACTGAGGCTCAGACTAAGGCAGAAACTAGGACACGTCAACACCCCATTTTTTCCCCTGAGGGAATAACTAAGTTGGGGAGAGCTTTGGTCTCTGTTCCCAGAAGCTTTAATACTGATGGGGAGAGATGATCTGTTGGTCATGCCAGCCTGGATCCGTGTGTGTGTGTGTGTGTGTGTGTGTGTGTGGTGGAATCCTTGGTGCCAATGTGGCAGGTGCTATCTGGGCACCTCTAACTGCCCCCCAGGGGCACAGGTGGGCTCAGAGGGAGTCATTGGGGGTTGCTGGAGGAGGAGCTGACTAATCTTGTGCTCGGGTCTGAGCGCTGCCACGTAACATTGGGCAAGTGCCTTCCCCTTTGTAGGCCTTGCCTCTTCATGGGGAGTATGGGCAAGCTGGGCCAAGTAGCCCCAGATCTCCAAATCCTGTCACTCCGCAGAAAGTTGTTCTTGACAGGGAATCTGGCATTTGATGTAAGCTCCAAAGGGAAAGGAAGCTGGGCCCGGGGGTGGGGAAGAGAGGTGGGAGAGCACAGGGCGTGTTTGGAGGGCAGAGGATGAGTAGTCCAGGGTAAGCCTGGAGAGGGAGGCATGTGCCGGGCAGTGCACAACTGTGCTGGCTTTCCTGGGGCCCTTGGTCAGGTGTGGGCACACTTGTGTGTATGTATGAGTGTGTGTGTGTGTTCCCACAGGTGTGTGTGAGTGTGGGCACATGTGTATGTGGGCACACAGGTGTGTAAATGTGGAGATGGGCACGTGTGTGAGAATGTGTATGTGTGTACACACAGGTGCATGAGTGTGAGTGTGTCTCTGGGTATGGGTACAGATGTGTATGTGTGTGGAGGTGTGTAGGCAGACACTTGTGTGAGTGGGTGTGTGGGTACACAGGTGTGTGTGTATGTGTATGTTTATATGTCTGGGTGTGGGCACAGGTGTGGATTGGGTGTGGAGGCATGTATACAGGCATATGTGTGAGCATGGCTGTGCATGGGCACCCCTGTCTATGCAGGTTTATGTGGGGAGGGGGCTGAGATGAGGCTGAGGGGTTGTGACCCGTGTGTGTGTGTGTGTGTGTGTGTGTGTGTGTGGTGTGTGCACACATGCGTGCACGTGTGTTTGTGAGGGTGGGGCCAAGACAAGGTGTGTATGTGTGGGCACACGTGTATGTTTGTGCACCCGTCCAGGCTCCCGGCGTATGCCCGCTTGTGCATGGTGGGGCAGGGCTGAGATGAGGATGAGGTGTGATTCTTGTGTGTGTACATGGGGCACGCATGTACGTGTGCAGGCTCACGGGGCATGCATATTTGTGGGGGGGGGGCTGAGAGGAGGAGGCAGCGGCGGCGGGCCTCAGTGGGCGGTGGGCTGCCCCGGTGGCGGGTTCTGACTCCCTGCCCTCCCCAGGTGAAGCTGGTTTTTGTGGAAGATCAAGCCGTGGTGGAGACCGTCTTCTTCCTCACGTCCAGCATGATGGCTCTGCTGCGCCGTTTCCCCCTCATGCTGTTCTTTGACCGCCTGCCGGGCCTGCAGGGCACCTTCGATCTGTCCACGGTGCTCTGTGTGGATGACCGCGGCCGTGGCCGGGAGGTGGCCTGCTGTCTCACACGCCAGACCACCCCCAACCTTCTGCGCTTCACGCTGGCCTCGCTGGTGCAGAGCGTCCCGGAGATCAAGGGCCGCGTGCGCTGCGTCACCGTGGGGCCCGAGGTGGGCACCCAGCTGGAGGCCGTCCGAGAGCTGCTGCCTGGGGCTCGCGTCCAGATCTGCCGGGTCCAGGTGCTGGAGACGCTCTTCAGCAAAGCCCAGGAGCTGGGCGGGGCCGGGGAGGACCCCGGGCTGTGGCCGCTGCTCTGCCGCCTGGCCGGGGCGGCTTCCGCTGCAGCCTACATGGAGGCGCTGGCCGAACTGCGGGCTACGTGCCCGGCTGCCTTCGTGGACTACTTTGAGCGGAGCTGGGCACCCCGCAGGGCCATGTGGGTGCGCCTGTGGGCCTTTGAGACAGCCCGGAATGTGGATGCTTGTGCCCTGGTCCGAGGGCACCGGCAGCGCTTGCTGCGGGGGCTTAGCCCCTCACCCACGGTTGCCCAGTGTATCCGCGACCTGGTGGCCTTGCAGCGGGGGCACAGTGAGGGGGAGGGGCTGGTGGGGGAAGAGGGCCTATCCAACGCCTCTCTGACAGGACCTGGGGCGGGGTTAGAGAATGGAGGCGGAAGGGGGTTGCAGTGGGGGGATAGAGGGGGCGGGGGGACACAGTTGGGAGAGGGAGGTGTGCAGTTAGGGGACAGAGGGCTGAGAGAGGGAGGCATACAGTTAGGAGACACAGGGGGCAGGGGAACACAGCGGGGGGACAGAGGTGAGTGGGGGATGCATTTTGGGGACAGAGATGTACAGCTTGTGGACAGAGGAGATAAGGAGATACAGTTGGGAGGGAGCGGGAGAGAGCTGAGAGAGAGAGGGATGTATTTATGGGAAAGAAGAGTACGATTAGGAGATAGAGAGGGGAGGAGCAGACAGCTGGGGGAGAGAGGTATACAGTTGGGGGACAGAGGAGAGAGGGGGCTGCCTGTGTGGGAGAGAGGTATACAGTTAGGGGACAGAGGGGAGAGGAGGATGCAGCTGGGGGAGAGAGGTATACAGTTGGGGGACAGAGGGGAGAGAGGATTCCATTTGTGGGAGAGAGGTATACAGTTGGGGGACAGAGAAGAGAGTAGGACACAGTTGGGAGAAAGTGAAGTCCAACTAGTGGACGGAGGGGAAAGGGGAACACAGCCGGGAGAGGACAGAGGGGAGAGGGGGCTGCATTTGTGGGATGGAGGGCAAAGAATGCAGCTGGGCGACAGAGAGGAGGCTGGAGCCACGGCGGGAGAGCTTCAGGGAAGAGGGTGGGCGGCTGGGGTTAGAGATGAGAGGGCGTCGGCCAGGAAGCGGGCCCGAAGCTCCTCGGAGGAGGAGGACTGGGAGCTGCTGTCTAGGTTTCGGGCTGTGTGTGGGCCGGAGCTGGCTGGTCTGGTGGCTGAGGAGCTCACCTTTGCCCGGCAGCATGGGCTCAGGGGCTTCCGGTGGACTGGCACAGGCTACACTCTGCAGGACGGCACCTCGGACTTCCTCCTGGATGCGGCGCTGACCCGCTGCAGCTGCTCTATCCACGCTGCCCGCCGCCTCCCCTGTCGCCACCTCTTTGCTGCCCGCCTTGTGGTGGGAGCTGCCCTGTTCCACATGGACCTGCTCAGGGACAGCTGGGGAGGGGCCCCTGAGCCTTGAGCCCCGGAACTCTGTCCCCCTGCCCTGCACCTCCCACCACCAGGAGCGAGGGTGCTCACTGAGGTCCAAAAATCCGGGGGCTCCCTTTCCCGCCTCCCTTGGGATTTTTTACGTTGGGGAAGGACAAGTGCTCGGAGATTCCCCAAGCCCACCCGTACGTGGTGGACAAAGTGATTCTTCAGCAGCTGTCACAGAATTCTTTCCCTTTCCGATCCCCCAAGAGGAATGGAAAAGGTGACAGCTGAGGGATGTGGGCAGAGGGGGACTAGGGTGAGAATGGAAATAGAGGTTAGGGAAAGGGGAAAGGAAGAGAGATGGGAGAAGACAGAAGGGAAGAGGAGAGGTGAAGGTATGTGATGTATGTAAGAGAAGGGATGGAAGGAGCCAGTTCACTTTTAGCTGGATCCCTCACGTGAATTGGCCCCCGTTCAGCAAACTGGACGGGCCCATGGCTGCTGGGCCTGGGAGGGAGGAGAGAGCGGGAAAGAGGATGACTCACACGGTTTGGCAAGGGGACTGTTCCCGGGCTGTCTGTCCAGAAGTGAATGTGGGGGGTTGATTTCTGTTCCCATAAGAAGGGCTCTTTTTGGAGAGCGAGGCTGCTGGGGGGGGGGGGGGGGGGGGGGTGGGGGGGGAGGGGCTAAGTAGGGGGCGGGACTTTTGCATCCCCTCCAATCCCAAGCATTTCCAAAGCTCCTACCCTATGGCAGGCAGGGAAAAAAAAAAAAAAAAAGAGACATAACTTCTCCTTATAGACCTTAAGTCCAAGTGGGGCCGATGAGTCACATCCACTGGTCAGTAGGAGTACCCTTTGTGCCAAGCTCTAGGCCTGTGTGGGTGTGGACTTCGAGCTGGAGAGATTCTATCAAAATATCTCTTTGATTTCTGTGGCTTGTGCCATGAGTTAAGTCTGAGAAGTCTCAGAATGCCTCGTGTCTCGGATCTCCACAGATATGGGCAGTTGGGTTCAAGGTAACAAAGCGATTTATACAGGGAATTGTTAGAGCCCTCCATTTGTGTTGAGAGAATCTGTGGGGTTGAGTTGATTCTGAGCAAGTCCTTTTCACTGGGCCTCAGTTTCCTCATCTGTAAAACGAGAGGGTTACAATAGACGGCTTGTAATATGCCTTATAGCCCTCAATCCTATAGCATCCTACAGAATAATCAGGATTGAACTGTGTGGGCTGGGTTGCTTGGAAACAGGAGCACAGAGATTTTGGGCTCCCAGGGCTCTGGACCCTATTGTTCCCTCTGTCCCCTTGGTTGCCACACGTGGTAAACACCCAGGAAGCAGCAGGCCTCTGGCTGGCAGTCAGTCTGGCTAACTTGAGGAGGGGGCCCTGTCAATAGCAAGGGGTTCTTTTGGAGTGGGGGTGGCTTAGAGCTCCCAAGCCATTATGGGATTAGAACATTTAGTGCCACCCTTTAATTTACTAAGCCCTAGAAAGACTGTGACTACTCAAAGTAGTAAACAGAGCCCACGTTTTGAATCCAATGTCCTTTTCACTGTATTCCCTTGGAAACTGGCCTTTGGGTAGGAACTGAAGTGTTGTGACCCGGAGGGGGCATCTTGGAACATGGGGAAGCTTTTGGTTCGGTCCTCAGCCCTACCCTACCCACTGTCCTTGTGATGCTTACTGCTCTCCAGTAAACTTCGTTGGGCCTGGTACATCAGAGTCACTCGAGAAATGCTTACTGGTCAATCGATTCTGTCCTTGGTTCCCCTTGGGGTGAGGAGGGTTTACCAAATCCCTGGTCTTAGATCAGCTGTCTCTGAAGGTTGGTCTAGACTGTAGATTATCAGATAAACTGCCAGTTAAGTGCTAAAAGCCCAATCCCAAGAGTTGGAAAGGACTTTAGACTTTATCTAGTTCAACCAGAATCTGAAGAATTCCTTTGTCTCTGATCCTCAGTTTTCTTATCTGTAAAATGGGAATGGTAATCCCTACGCCCATCAAAATGCTTCCCTGCTGTCTCACCCCAGGGTGGAGGGAGTTCTCCTAGGTGGAAAGGCTCTAGCCTGTCCCTGGATGGGTAGACTGTGTAGATTTTGTCTGAGCCCTAGCCAGGGATCAGAATTTGGCCCCCAGTGTTGAAGAGTTTTTGACCACAGGGCCACACTCATTCAATTGCACTGAATAATTATATAGTAAGCATCTACTGTGAGGCAGGCACTGAGACAAGAGCATACATGCCTTTGGGGGTGGGGGGAAATGTGAGCAAATGAAAACCTTTGGTCTCCATGTGGCTGCGCGAAGAAGGAGGAAATTGTACAAGCACAGAATGTCTGAGTTGGAGAACACCTCCGTGCCTCTAGCCTAACCCAGAGAGGCTGACAAATGGCTCAAAGACTTCGAAGCACTGGAAATCCACAATGTGGAGGGGGCAGCCCATTCTACCCAGAGAGGTCCAGTTGTTTGGAAGCTTTTTCTGACTTCAGGTGTTCCCATTGCCCCTGGGACCCAGGAGCCCTTTGGGGCCAGACTGAGTAAGTGTATCTAGCCTCTCTGTGAGAGCCCTTCCTTACTCTAGCATCGTGCCTTCTCTATCCCCCCAGTTTTCTTTCCTCATGGCCCTTCACCACCCCAGAGATTCTCCAGTTAATCCACATCTTTCTTAAATATCGGTGTTTTTTAAAAAGGCTACAGAATAGAGGCCTAACCAGGCTGGCCCCATCAGATGGGATCAAGGGGCCAGTCGATACAACAAAGAGGGGGCTAAGGGCTTACTTTCAGTAGATGGTAATTAAGGAAGTGTAGGTGTGAAACAAAACAGGTGAGTGTGTATATGTGAGAAAGAGACAGACATAAATAGGGTGGAAATGTTGAGGTTTAGGAGTGCTGGGACCCCAATATCACAACACGCGAATCCTGCCCGAAAGAATTCTACCCAAGCCTTCTTTCAGTCAAAGACAAGGTTTATTACAACATCAGTCATATTGGACAGCCTCTTAAGGAGTCTGAGCATTAGTGAGCTAATGGTTAGATTATAAGAATCTAAGCACCTTAATGGAGACAAGATGAACCTTATATACAGAGACTGTTGGGGGGGGGATGTAGGAGTGGCCAAATAGTTTGGGGTGACTGGAGGAGGAGTCTAAGGAGGACCTGGATGGGAGTGGCCAGTAAGCTGGGGTGAACAGAACTCCTGGGACCTGGACCTCCTGGTGCCTAGCTAGGATTAAGGGTGGGAAATGGCTGGGGGTCATAGGGAGGTAAAACAATGGAGAGCTAGGCTAGATTAAGGGTAACCAAATTGGGAGATTGGGTGTGGCCACGATGAAAGGCCAGTTGATGGGATTATAACCTAAGGTGAATGCCAGAGATTTGGCCATGTGAGAAAGTCCAGGGTTTTTTCTTTCTGGGGTCCAGATCCCAACCCCATCATTAAGACATGACTGGAACTGTCCAGACGTGGTGGCCAGTGGGGAACCCTTTTGCTCTGGGCTTTCAGAGGCCAGGATGAACTAGGCCACCTGTCTGGGCTGGGTAGGGCACACAGGGTGGATGGTATTCCATTCCTCTCAGAAGGAGAGATGGGCTTAGCTGACCCAGGGACAGGGCCTATAGCTGCTAGGTGGTGGGGGGTGGGTGGGGAAGTGGGGAGGGTCCGAGAGAAGCAGGGTGGGGGACATGGGGGAAGGTGGATCTATGGCTGATCCTCCAGCTCTGGGACCCCATGCCCCTACTCTGGACCCCGGTCTGGCCCTGGAGAAACAGACTAAATTCAGGCCCTGCCTCCTCAGGCCCTGCCCATGGACATCAGGCTCCACCCCTGGAAGACAATCTGACTCAGGCCCCACCCCTGAGAAACTGACAATCAATCAATCAATAAACATTTATTAAATTCCTACTATGTGCCAGGTGCTGTGTTAAGCGCTGGGGAGTCAAAAAGACACAAAAGACAGCCCCCGTCCTAAAGAAGCTCACAATCTAATGGTGGAGACAACATGCAAACCAATATACGGTATGCGAAGCAAGCTATATACAGGATAAATTAGGAGATAATTAGCAGAGGGAAGGCACTGGAATTAAGAAGGTTGGGGAAGGCTCTGCCTCTGCAAAAACTACAACCAAGCCTCACCTCCCCAGGCTCTTGTTCGGTCCTGTCCAACTCTTAGTGACCCCATTTGGGGTTTTCTTGGCAAAGATACTGGCTGGACTGGTTTGCCATTTCCTTCTCCAGCATTTTTTTTTTTTAAACAGAGGAGGAAACTGAGGCAAACAGGGTTAAGCGACTTGCTCAGAGTCACACGGCTAGTAAGTGTCAGAGGCTGGATTTGAATTTAGATCTTCCTGACTCCAGGCCCGGCAGCTGTATCCGCTGGTCCTGCCCATAGACATCTTCAAACTCCTTTCTAGTGAAACAGACTATCCATCCCAGGCCCCCACCCCCCAGGAAACCAGCGATTAGGTCCAGGCCCCCCCCCCCCCCCCCCCCCCCGCATCTTTAGGCTCTCACCGTCGCTATGGAAACAACACGCTCCTTCTCAAAGCCCCGCCCCCGACACGCTCTCCGTCCCTCCAAAGGCCGTCGCCGCCTGCTCCAAGGCTCCTGAAGGGAGGGGGAGTCGAAGTAGTTAAGTGAGGACTACCACTCCCAGGATGCCACGCGCTCTCTTCCGTCGGACGGTGGCTGCCGCCGTCCAGTCCCAGGAAAGAGATCTACGCGTGCGCTGGGCGGGGGGCGGGGGGAGAGGGAGGGAGGGAGGGAGGGAGGGGGTCGTCGCCCCTCCGCAGGAATTTCTTCGGGAGCATGTGCGGAAGGGGCGGGACGCTGAGGGCGCGCGGGGCATTGTGGGCCTGTCTCCCAGTCCGCTGCTCGGGGGGCTCGCTCGGCGCCGCCATCTCTCGGGGAGCAGAGGAGGGGGCAGGGGTGGAGGCGGAGGCCGCGCCTGTCTCCATGGTAACACGCTAGGCCGGGTGGGGGTGGGTGGCCATGATGATGGGGGAGGGAGGAGCGGCCCTGGTCGCCATGGTGACGGAGGGGCTTAATGAGCGGGAGCGCAATGGGTCTCCATGGTAACGGAAGAGGGTGGGTGGGGCGGGTGGGTCTGTGCTGCCCAGAGTAGTTCCCGACCTTGACCGTGACCTATGACCCCTTTTTACCTTTACCCCCAGGCCTGTCTTGACACTATCCCACTCCCAGCCCCCTGGGTCTGATCTCATCCTGAGCCCAACCAGGGCTCTCCCTGTCCTTGACCACTCCTCCTGGTCCTGTCTCCATCCCCATCCCCATCCCCCTCCTTATCCCTTGGTCCGTGCTCCTGCCCCCATCCCCATCTTGGTCCCCGGTGCTGCCCCATCCCCATCCCATCTCCGTCCCGGTGCTGCCCCCATCCCCATCCCCATCTCCGTCCCTGGTGCTGATCCCATTCCCATCCCCATCTCGGTCCCGGTGCTGCCCCCGTCCCCACCCCCATCTCGGTCCCTGCTGCTGCCCCCATCCCCATCTCGGTCCCTGGTGCAGCCCCCATCCCCATCCCCATCTCCGTCCCGGTGCTGCCCCCGTCCCCACCCCCATCTCCGTCCCTGGTGCTGCCCCCATCCCCATCTCGGTCCCTGGTGCTGACCCTATCCCCATCTCCCCACTGCCCTCCTG